ACCACTGATGCTTCCATTAATCTTGAAGGAAAAGGAGGCAGAAGTAACACAGATCATAACAAGCTTCACAAAATCACTATGGAATCCCATTTGAAGCATAATTTTCTTTAACCAGAGTCATTCAACTCGGTCAAAAGCTTTAATAAGATCTAACTTGAGGGCCATGAAGGAATTAAGACCAGAGGAGTGCCTGTTCAGGAAGTGGAATGCTTCTTGGGCAATTATCACATTGTCAGTAATATGTCTACCCTCAAGAAAAGCAGCCTGATGCTCACTGATGCAATGTGGCAAGCAGGCCTTGAGTCTCTGAGCTAAGATTTTGGATATGAGCTTGTAGACTACACTACAAAGGCTTATTGGTCTGAATTGACTCAAATTATCCGGGTGGTGACATTTGGGAATAAGGGATAAAACAGTGTGATTCCAATATTTGAGGATAGTACCTGACTGGAAGAAACTGTGGACTGCCTTCATAAGATCAGATTTGATTAAGCTCCAGAAGTGTTGATAAAAGGCAGCTGTCATTCCATCTTCACCAGGTGATTTATCAGGCTGAAAACTGAACAAAGATTGTTTGACTTCATCTTCATCAACAGGTTTGAGGAGGGCAGTGTTCATGTCTTGAGTTATGGTCTCTGGAACTAGGTAGAGAATGGATTCCTCACCCCAACTGCCCTCAGTAGAGAAGAAGTTAGTATAGAATTCAGAGATATGGGACTCAATCTCAGTCTGAGAGGAGTAGACTCTGCCTTGGTCTGAAATGAGCCTGGTTATTGCATTGAGTTTTCTTCTCTGGAGAGTATAGGCATGAAAGAATTTGGTGTTGGCATCCCCTTCTTTTAACCATCTGTACTTAGCTTTTTGCTGCCAGTGGAGTTCCTCCAGAGAGTGTGCCTTGTTCAGCTTTCTTTTTGTCTCTTCCCAGATTTCCCAGTTTGTCCCCTTGTCATAAGTATTGAGATCTTCCATTCTCTGAGTAAGTTCAGATTTTCTTTCTGCCTTGTGGATTGAAAAGAAGAACTCCAAATGAGGATAGCAATCCTGGTATTCTTGACCCTCTCCTTAAGCTGAAAAAAAGGGGTACCAGTGACTGGGGATTTCCAAGCAGCAGTAACTATATCATTAAAGCCATCCATGCTTAACCATCTTTTATCAAAGTGAAAAATGGCCTTTCTTTTCATTTGAGGAAGTCCCAAGCTCAAGAGAAGAGCAGAATGGTCAGAAGAACTTCTGGGGGTATTGGATACAACTGCATTGGGGTAAGAATGAGACCAGTCAAGAGAGCCAAAGGCTCTGTCCAGCTTTTCTTCAACCAGAGCAGGAGGAGCTCTGTTGTTACTCCAAGTAAAAGCATAGCCATTTGATTGAACTTCCAGCATGTCCATTTCAGATACAAAAGAGTTAAAACCCAAAAGGCTAAGGGTTGGTCTGTTGGTTCCACCTGATTTCTCTGAGTTTGAGAGGATGTCATTACAGTCTCCAATGGAGAACCAAAGAGATCCCCATTTCTGTTTAGCTGCCAACATTTCTTCCCTCTGTGTCTTTCTGATTACTTTGCAGGGACAAAGATAGACAAAAATTCCCCATTGGAGGGGGTGGGGTTGCAGCAGGAATTCAACAGCAATAAAATATTTTTCACAGATAATTTTACTAATAACTATGTGAGTATCCCACATCAAAACAAGCCCTCCACAGAGGCCTATTGGGTCAACTATAGCAACCCTATTATCAAAACCTAACTTTTTACAAACCGAATTAACAAAAGCAGATTGTTTTTTAGTTTCTGAGAGGAAGATAAAATTTGGATGGTGAGCTTTCTTGAGCTCTCTGACTTGGGAAATTGTAGAGGGCCCACCCAGCCCTCTACAATTCCACACCAGAGCTAACATTTATCCTGGTGGTGCCATTCAAGGCTGGCAACCCCCACCATTTCCAGATTAGCTTTTTGCTTTTTAGATTGAACCTGCTTATGAGTGTTGGAGTCCTCTGAGTGGTCTGTTGGCTCCAAGACTTGTCTGTCTCTCTTTCCATTAAAAAGCTGGTCAATAATAATAGGAGCTTCATTGGTTCTGAGAAGCCTGCCCATCCTTGTGCCTGGTCTTCTCCAAGATTTGAGAGGCTGAGATTTAGAGATTTGAAAGGATTTTTCCGATGAAGATAGTTCTGTGACTAGAGCTGTGTCTCCTGTTTCTACTTCCATGATAGAGGATTCCACAATCTGCAGATTGGCTACTTCATGTTCCTCTTCTTCATCTCTGCTTTGGTTGGCTGAGACCACAGATGGTGCCCCAATAGATTTAGCCGGAGATTCTGTGTTTCCTATGCTAGGAATAATTTGATTCTAATCAGCACAATGGCTTGATGAGGCTCTTTTGGAAGTGCCATTGTCAGTAGCAATAAGAGATTTTGGAGGTGGAGATGATCTAGAACCAGATAAACTGAAAGTACTCCCTCTGAAGCCATCGGCTGCCCTCATCCAATCACCATATTGTCCCTCTTGGAGGGAGTTGTTTCTGATATCCTCCATTTTTTTGAGACATCCTCTGTCCAAGTGACCCAATTTTCCACAATAGTGACATAGGTTGATGAGTTTCTCGTACTTAAATCCAACATTAACTAGTTGGTCTCCAAGTCTGACCTTAGCCATTCTGGGAAGAGGCTCATTCACATTCAAAGTGACTAGAAGCTTGAGAATCTTGCCCCTATGATTCCCCGTAGTTGCAATTACCATATTCTTAACTTTATTGAAGGCCTGTCCTATCTTTAATCCCACTTCGGTACTGATCCAGTTTAGAGGAATGTTTTGGACCTGCACCCATAGATTGAGTTCCTGAAACCCTGGATTCTTGTTGTTGATACTTGCTTCCCATTCTTTAAGGATAATGTACTGATTTTCGAAGCTCCAATTTGTGCCATTGGCAACCTTCTTCATATCACCACGGTTCTGGAATATGAATTGAAAATAATTTGGGCAGAGTTCCTTGACCTCCATGGGATGATTTAGCTTCCATATCTGCGACATTGCACGTTTTATACCGATCCAACTTGCTGGTCTACCTCCGATTATTTTTCCGAACAGGCTTCTGTTGCATTCTTCGTTACTGAGTTTGATGTCACCCTGCGCAATATCAAAGATTTTGGCTTCATTAGTAGAGAGTGATACTTTATCTAAACGATCTGAGAGTTCCTGATTGAAATCCGCCATTGGAACCCTAAAAACCCTCGATTGAAGACGAGAAAAAGAAAGCGGATGATTAGCAGCGAAGAGCGAACTGAGAGGCTATAAGGATATCAGAGGATGAACAGATGGGAGGAATTACTCGCTCACAAACAAGAAATCAAAGATGAAAAGCTGAAAGAGTTACGCTCTCAAAGAGAGAATCAGAGCTCTCAAAGAGAGAATCCTGAGTAAATAGGGGTTTTTGCCCCTATTTACTCTTATTTTCCTCCACTTCTTTAAATGCATACAAATTTGCTTCGAAACGCGATGGTGCGAGAAATATATGTTATCCACATCAAATAATGGTGTCGTGTTTGAAACCAAGCATTTCTGGAGACGTTGATTTTTTTTCTTTTTTTCCCCTATTTACTGTTATTTTCCTCGACTTCTTTACATGTATACGATTTTGCTTCAAAATGATGTGATGTGAGAAATATATGTTATCCACATCAAATAATACTGTCGTGTTCGAAAACAAGCCTTTCTGGAGACGTTGATTTATTTTTCGTTTTTGCCCATATTTACTCTTATTTTCCTCGAGTTCTTTAATTGTATACGATTTTGCTACAAAATGCGATGGTTCGAGAAATATATGTTATTCACATCAAATAAGGGTGTCGTGTTCGAAAACAAGCCTTTCCCGAGACATTGATTATTTTTTCATTTTTGCCCCTATTTACTCTTATTTTCCTCGACATCTTTAATTTTATACCATTTTGCTATGAAATGCGATGGTGCGAGAAATATATGTTATTCACATTAAATAATTGTGTCGTGTTCAAAATCAAGCCTTTTCGGAGACATTGATTATTTTTTCGTTTTTGCCCATATTTACTCTTATTTTATTCGACTTCTTTAAATGTATACGATTGGGTTTAGAAACGCGATGGTGCGAGAAATATACGTTACTCATATCAAATAATGGTGCCGTGTTCGAAAACAAGCCTTTCCAGAGACGTTGATTTTTTTTGTGTTTTTGCCTCTATTTACTCTTATTTTCCTCGACTTCTTTAAATGTATACAATTTTGTTACGAAACGCGATGGTGCGAAAAATATATGTTATTCACATCAAATAATGGTGTCGTGTTCGAAAACAAGCCTTTCTGGAGACGTTGATTTATTTTTCGTTTTTGCCCATATTTACTCTTATTTTCCTCGAGTTCTTTAATTGTATACGATTTTGCTACAAAATGCGATGGTGCGGGAAATATATGTTATTCACATCAAATAATGGTGTCGTGTTCGAAAACTAGCCTTTCCGGAGACATTGATTATTTTTTTGTTTTGGCCTCTATTTACTCTGATTTTATTCGACTTCTTTAAATGTGTACGATTTGGTTTAGAAACGCGATGGTGCGAGAAATAAGGTTACTCACATCAAGTAATGGTGCCGTGTTCGAAAACAAGCCTTTCCGGAGACGTTGATTTTTTGTCTTTTTTCCCCTATTTACTCTTATTTTCCTCGACTTCTTTAAATGTATACAATTTTGTTACGAAACGCGATGGTGAGAGAAATATATGTTATTCACATCAAATATTGGTGTCGTGTTCGAAAACAAGCCTTTCCGGAGACGTTGATTATTTTTTTGTTTTTTCCCCTATTTACTCTTATTTTTCTCGACTTCTTTAAATGTATAATATTTTGCTACGAAAGGCGATGGTACGAGAAATATATGTTATCCACATCAAATAATGGTGTCATGTTCGAAACAAGCCTTTCTGGAGACGTTGATTATTTTTTCATTTTTGCCTCTATTTATTCTTTTTTTCCTTGACTTCTTTAAATGTATACAATTTTGTTAAGAAACGTGATGGTGCGAGAAATATATCTTATCCTCATCAAATAATGATGTCGTGTTCGAAAACAAGCCTTTCCGGAGACGATTACTTTTTCGTTTTTGCCGCTGTTTACTCTTATTTTCCTAGACTTCTTTAAATGCATACGAATTTGCTTTGAAACGTGATGGTGCGAGAAATATATGTTATCCACATCAAATAATGGTGTCGTGTTTGAAAACAAGCCTTTCTGGAGACGTTGATTTTTTTTTTTTCCTTTTTTCCCCTATTTACTCTTGTTTTCCTCGACTTCTATACATGTATACGATATTGCTTCAAAATGCTATGGTGTGAGAATTATATGTTATCAACATCAAATAATACTGCTGTGTTCGAAAACAAGCCTTTCCGAAGACGTTGATTTATTTTTCGTTTTTGCCTATATTTACTCTTATTTTCCACAACTTCTTTAAATGTATACGATTTTGCTTCGAAATGCGATGGTGCGAGAAATATATGTTATTCACATCAAATAATGGTCCTGTGTTTGAAAACAAACCTTCCCGGAGACGTTGATTATTATTTCGTTTTTGCCCCTATTTACTCTTATTTTCCTCGACTTCTTTAATTGTATACGATTTTGCTACGAATGCGATGGTGCGAGAAATATATGTTATTCACATCAAATAATGGTGACGTGTTCGAAAACAAGCCTTTCCGGAGACATTGATTATTTCTTCGTTTTTGCCCCTATTTACTCTTATTTTATTCGACTTCTTTAAATGTATACAATTTGGTTTAGAAACGCGATAGTGCGAGAAATATATGTTACTCACATCAAATAATGGTGTCGTGTTCGAAAACAAGCCTTTCCGGAGACGTTGATTTTTTTTTTTGTTTAACCCCTATTTACTCTTATTTTTCTCGACTTCTTTAAATGTATAAAATTTTGTTACGAAACACGATTGATATAGCCATACTGTCGTATAACGGTTTACACTATCAAGGGTTCCAAAACTACCGAGTCGACTTAGCCAAAGCCGACTCTCTCATCATATTCCCTATAATATCTCCAAGTAGGGGTCCAAATACCCTCCGGTCGACTCCTACATGTCAACTAGTATAAGTCGATTTCCTGCGAAGCGACGGTCAAAAGCATATCTGGATCCACTAGCGATTGAGTATGACCCAGTCGACTCAAGTCGACTGGATCAAGTCGACTGAAAGAGGTCTCGAAGCCCATAAATCTCGACAGCTCTAATACACTTCAGCATATCGAAGGGAAGCTAAGGATAAGGAAGGATCTAGAAGCTGACTAGGAAATGGACGGAATGCGAACCGACCAGGGTAGTTTGGACATTTCCAGTAAGTCTGCCGGGGCATTTTGGGGACTTCAGGTGAATGTTCCATTTCTATATAAAGGAGCTGAGGTAACTCCAAAACCCTAACTCCCATTCATTCCACATTCTTCCCCATTGTTGCTGCTTCCTCAGAGCAGCTCTTTTCACTCTTTTCACATACTGACTTGAGCGTCGGAGGCTCTACGCCGGAAATCCCTCCGACGTTGAGTTCTTGCACGTGTTCTCACAGTTCGATAACAACTTGGAGACCATCAAGACAGATCTGAGCTCGTTCTCATCGGTTCATTCCAGATCCAGGCGATTTTCCACCGGTTCACCCCAGATCCGAGAATAGACCCATCATTTGGCGCCGTCTGTGGGGAGTTCTTGAAGGAATTAAGAGCTTTACACCTAGTTTGGATCTGTTTCCGATGGCTGAGAAGGAAGGATTGCAGAAAAACTTGAACGAGGATTTCAGGGCAGCATGGACTGACAAGCGAACTCCGCCGATTCTTAACCCCAAACCACCGCTCCAAGTGTTCGGTTTTCCACCGTTTGGGGCACACGCGCCGTCAGGAAGGCGTATGGAGGAAGAGACGCCTATTACCCCACCCAGAGTCAAGATCCCAGTTCTCACCCAAGGGGAGGCCAGTCACGTGAAGGATACGAGCGGAGAAGCAGATGGTCACCTATCGACCGAAACATCTTTGAGATTGGGGAGGCATCCTAGGCAACTTGATCAGGAGACAAGGCCACCACCCCAAATCGAGGAACAAACACTGACCATGACGAGAAGCGAGATGCAGAGGATGATTGCCGAAGCTGTAGCAGCCCAAATCAAACAGACTCGGGTCGAACAGCTTAGGATTGAACAAGCTAGGGTCGAGCAGCCCCAAAATGAACAACAACCCCCTGAACGCGAACAGCAGGCGCAGTCACATGAAAGGCAGAACAAGAGGGTAGATGAAGAGGAATCCTCTGTCAGGACTGTCAATCCACAGGCGAGAAACGACACCCTGGAGCAGTTGTTAGCGCAGGTGCGAGATTTGCAGGCTCAAGTCGAGGGGAGAAAGACAGGAAGCTCGAGGGGACATCCTTTCTCACAACACATTCTCGAAGCTGACTTGCCTCAGGGGTTTAGAGAACTTAACATCTGGTACGACGGGTCGACTGACCCCTCTCGACATCTGAGGAGTTTTGAAAACATGGCGGTGTTGCACCGCTACAATGACCCCGTTCAATGTCGAGCGTTCCTGACGACCCTGCGAGGACCAGCGCAGGATTGGTTCCATCAATTGCCCCCAGGAGCCGTCAGAGACTTTGATGGATTTAGCTCGAGTTTTCTAAACCAATTCGCGAGTGTAAAAGCCCAAGAAAAGTCTTACCTAACTTTAATAGGTATGCAACAGAAAGAAGGGGAATCATTGAGGGACTATGTGGCGAGGTACACATGGGCGTGTGTCGACGTCCCCTCGGCCACTGAGGAAATCAAGTCGGGAGAACTCACTCGAGGGCTACTCCCAGGACTGTGCAGAAATTCACTAGCAAAGCGACCCGGAAGGACGTTCGACGAGGTATTGGGAAGGTGCGCCAAATACATGAATGTCAAGGAAGCCGAAGCTGACTTTTTACAAGCGGCTAAAGCAAAAACTGAGTCTCGGGACGAGAAGAAGGATAGAAAAACGGTCTCGACGATTGAAAGGAAGGGATCCCCGAAGTCAGAGAGAGAAGGCCGATCGAGGGGATGGAGGGCAACCCAATATACTCCTCTGTTAGCCTCGAATGCAAGGATATTGGAAGTGATGGAGAAAGAGATCCGCGAAAATGTTGTCAGGTGGCCACGAACAAGAAAGGATGAGCCGACAAAACCTAAAAGCAATCTGTATTGTCGGTTTCATAAAGACTACGACCATAACACCGATGAATGTCGGCACCTAAAAAATGAGATTGAGAGGCTAATCAAAGCAGGCTATCTGAAGGAATTCATTTATAAGGATCGAGAGCGAACAAGTCGACGAAGGGAGAGAAGCAAAAGCCCTCACAAGAGAGCGAGGACACCCGACAAGGAGGAGCTCCCTCAGAAAAGAGGGGTAATTCATATGATATTCGGAGGGCCGACCGATGGAGAATCAAATCGGGCCAGAAAGGCATATGCTCGAGGGCACCACGGAAAAATTGAAGTGCAGCAGGTCGAAGAAAACGGTCCAGTGATGAATTTTGGACCAGCAGACATGGGAGAAGTCGAGAGGCCTCACAACGATGCCCTAATGATCACAGCTCAGATATCGGGCTATGAAGTGCAAAGGATCTTTGTCGACACAGGAAGCTCAGTAAATGTGATCTTTTACAATTGTCTTAAGCGGATGGAACTCGACATCGAGCTTGCACCCCTGCACACCTCGCTCTTCGGATTCAATGGCTTGGAGGTTGCACCCCTGGGAGAAACCACGCTCGATGTCGTCCTGGGGGAAGGCGACTTGAGGAAGGTAAAAATGGTGCGATTTGTAGTGGTCGACGTCGAGTCGGCCTATAATGTGATTTTGGGAAGACCCGCACTCAACCCATTCCAAGCAGTAGTGTCAACCTACCACATGAAGCTAAAGTTCCCCGTGGGAGATAAT